TCTGTGTATATTCTGAAGTAACAGCCTCAGGTAATACTTCCTTTTTTTTTGTTTTTTTGGGTTTTTTGGGTGGTTTTTTTGGGTTGTTTTTGTTTTTGTTTTGGGGTTTTTTGTTTTTGTTTTTGTTTTGTTTTTGTTTGCTAGAATTAAAGTGTGAAAGGTAAGTTCTGTGTCAGCTTCTGCTCCTGAGGTGCAAAAACCCCTCTCCTTTTGCACACAGCAAAAATCTCTACAAAATCTGAAAGGCTGAAGGCTTTGCCTGACACGGTCCCTGGGAAGAAACCAAACACTAATAAAGATTTCTACCTATGTTTGTGGGCTTTTATCTCTGCGGTAGCGGGGCCCCAGACCCGGGGAGGGATGGGGGAAATGAGGGGAAAAGATGGGGGAAAAGGGGAGGAAAAAAGGGGAAAGAGGGGAGGGGAAAGAGGGCTTTTAAAAAGAGGGGAAAGAAAAAGAGGAGTTAAAGAAGCGGGGGGAGAGGAGTGAAAAAGACAGGAAAGGGGTGAAAAAGAGGGGAAAGCGGGGGGAAAAGGGGAGGAAAAAAAGGAAAGAGTGGAAAGGGGGAGAAGGGGAGGGAAAATGAGGGAAAAGATGGGAAAAGGAAGAAAAAAGGGGGGAAGGGAGGGGAAAAGAAGGGAAAAGAGGAAAAAGGCAGGGGAAAGAGGAAAATAGCAGGGAAAAGAGGGAAATAGCAGGGAAAAGAGGGAAATAGCAGGGAAAAGAGGGAAAAGGCAGAGAAAGGGGGAAAACAGGTGGAAAATTATGGGGAAGGGGAGGGAAAAGAGGAAAAAGGCAGAGAAAGCGGAAAACCGGCAGAAAGGGGAGGGAAGGGGAGGGAAAAGAACAGAAAAGAGGAAAAGGGCAGAGAAAAGCGGAAAACCGGCAGAAAGGGGAGAGAAGGGGAGGGAAAAGAACAGAAAAGAGGAAAAAGGCAGAGAAAAGCGGAAAACCGGGGGAAAAGGGAGGGCAGGGCCGGGCAGGGCCCCGCCGCTGAGGGCCGCCCCGTTCCCGCCCTTTCCCGCCCCGGGGCGGAGCCAGCCCAAGATGGCGGCGGCGCCCTCCCAAGATGGCGGCGGCGCGGGGCCGTGAGGCGGCGGTCCCTCCCCAGGATGGCGCCGCCAATCCCGGCCCGCCGTGCGCGGCCCGCCCCGCGCGGGGCACGCCGGGCGCCGTGCGGGCTGAGGGCGCGGGGCCGCTGCGGGCGCGTCGGTCGGAGCGAGCGGCGCCATGCCGGAGCTGGCCGTGGACAGGGTGGTGGTGCACCCGCTGGTGCTGCTCAGCGTCGTGGATCACTTCAACAGGTGCGGGCGGGCGGAGCGGCGGCGCGGCGCTGAGTCACGGCCGGGCCGGAGCGCGGCCGGGCCCGCAGCGCGGCCCTGAGGGAGCCCGCGGCCGGGAGGGGCCCGGTCCCTCCGGCACCCCGGTAATTCGGGCCGAATTCCGCTCCGTGCCGCTGTGCCGAGCGGTTTTAGAGCCAGAAACAAAGCCCCGAGGCGGCCGAGCCCGCGGCGGGTGGCACTGCGCGGGGTCAGTCGCTGCCCGCTGGTCGCAGCCGGGGTCGGTGTCGCGGCCCCCGAGAGGGACCCCGGCCCTTCCTCGGGACAGGCTGTGGTTCCCAGGGCCCTTTTGTGGCTGTAAACACAGGCCGGGATAGCACGGTCAGAGCTCCCCTCTTCCACCCCCGCCGTGTCATCGCCGACACGGGCTGCGCGTCCCTGCTCCCCTCCTCCCCGTCCGTGGCAGGGGCTGACAGCCTTTTTTCCTTTTAGAATAGGAAAAGTGGGACTGACAGTCTTTTTTCCTTTTAGAATAGGAAAAGTGGGAAATCAGAAGCGAGTGGTTGGAGTGCTGCTAGGCTCCTGGCAGAAGAAGATCCTGGATGTGTCCAACAGTTTTGCAGGTGAGTTTGGGTGTCCTGCCCTCCTCCAAAGCCATGGAATGATTTTATGGATGGATTGTGTTGGGAGTTTTGAAGAAACCCTTGAGCCATCCACGTACAAATCACCTCATATCCAACAACAAATGCGATCTGCTGTCGACACCCCTAAGTCATCCTTACTCTCCTTTAGCAGCCAAAAATACCCAAACCCAAAGCATTTCAATAAACGTTTTCATTCAGGAAGTTGGATTCTTAAACGCTGGTGTTTTGTTTTATTCCAGTACCTTTTGATGAGGATGACAAGGATGACACTGTGTGGTTCCTGGACCACGACTATCTGGAGAACATGTATGGAATGTTTAAGAAGGTCAATGGTGAGTTGAGATCTTCTGACAGTCAGGGATATGCTCCCAAAAACTTTCAGGGCTGTGGAGAAGGGAATTCCTATTAATCACAGAATCCTTAAGGTTGGAAAACACCTATAAGATTATCAAGTCCAACCATCAGCCAGCACCGTGTTCATCACTAACCATGTCCCACATCCACACAGTTTGGAGCACGTCAGGATGGGACTTGCATCTCAAGATGTCAGATGTGCAGGCTGTCAGACCCCGAGAGCCACACAATTAACAGAAGGTGTTAATTACCGTGAAGGGGCCAGGAGAAAAGCTGTGGGTCAGTAATGGTGATGAGTGAGTGCAGTCACTGCTCAAGCCATGGCCTTGTAATCCACTTCCCTCTCCTCCACACAGACCAGGTTCTCACCCTCGATCAGCCCACCCAGTCTCTGCCCAGGTCTCTCTGCTGGGGCCTCCCCCAGCTCTGATTCCAAATCCTTTCTGCTTTTGCTCAGCCAGAGAAAGAATCGTGGGGTGGTACCACACGGGCCCCAAGCTGCACAAGAACGACATCGCCATCAACGAGCTGATGAAGAGATACTGCCCCAACTCTGTAAGTGGGGCCACTGTTGGCCTGTGGGGTTGTTCTTGTCTCATTCCCTAAAAGGGGCATCTGGGAAGCCTTGTCCGCCTCCTTCTTTGCTGGTGTCACTAGCAAAAAAGGAATCACACACAATTTACTGCGTCCTGAATCACACCTAAAGTGATTGAGGAACTGGGATCAGGAGTTTTTTGAATCATTGTCTCAGTGTCTGAGGTTACCGCTCTGAGCAGCCTTGTGTTGGTGCTGAGGAGGGAAGAGCTGGCTTGGGTATTTTTTCCCTACTCCATGACCAAAATCCAGTTTTCTGCACGTTTCCTTTCTCCCCGAGGTGCTGGTGATCATTGATGTGAAGCCAAAGGACCTGGGGCTGCCCACAGAAGCCTACATCTCCGTGGAGGAGGTCCATGATGTGAGTGCTCGCTCTGTGAAGTGTCACAGTCGCGGCTGGGAGCACTTGGAGGCTGTCACCTGTGGTGTCACTGCCTGCAGGTGCTCCCAGGTGTGCCCAGTCATTGTGGGCCTGCCCTGAGCAGCTCACTCCTCACTGAGCCCCATGCAGACAAACAACACCCAGCAGTGAGTCACTGTGATTGCTGCATTTGAATTATTATGAATGCGTATAAAATACTGGATCCTTTTGCCTTTCTGAGGCTTTCACAGCAGAGCAGGAGCTGCTCTCCCAGAATGCAACAAAGTTGGATCAGGAAAGAGAGAAATAATTGTGATATTTAGAATTTCTATTGCTCTATCCAGGCACAGACTAGCAAAATGCAGAAATGGGAAGTTAGCCAGAGCAGGAGAGATTGCTGGGGCAGTCAGTGACACTGATTAAATCAGGGACAGCCCAGCTGGAGCTGTTCCTCTCAGCTCCCCTGTGGCCTGTGTAGGGCTGCTTTTCTGGTTTCCTCGGTGCAATCCCCCGTCCCCTGGCTAAAATCCCCCATTTGTGTGTCCCTTTAGGATGGCACCCCGACCTCCAAGACCTTTGAGCACGTGACGAGTGAGATTGGTGCTGAGGAGGCCGAGGAAGTGGGTGTGGAGCACCTGCTGAGGTGAGGGGACAGCTGTGCTGGGCCCTGCCACGCTGACACGGCTGGAAAGGTCCCCAGGGACCGTGCCCAGCAGGGTGAGGTTCTAACCCCGATTCTCTCTGGGTTTCAGGGACATCAAGGACACCACGGTGGGCACGCTGTCCCAGCGGATCACAAACCAGGTCCATGGCTTGAAGGGACTGAACTCCAAGCTTCTGGACATCAGGAGCTACCTAGAGAAAGTAGCCCTGGGCAAACTCCCCATCAACCACCAGATCATCTACCACCTCCAGGACGTCTTCAACCTGCTCCCAGACGTCAACCTGCAGGAGTTTGTCAAGGCCTTTTACCTGAAGACCAATGACCAGATGGTGGTGGTGTACCTGGCCTCGCTCATCCGCTCCGTTGTGGCCCTGCACAACCTCATCAACAACAAGATTGCCAACAGGGATGCGGAGAAGAAGGAAGGACAGGAAAAAGAAGAAAGTAAAAAGGAGAGGAAAGATGAGAAGGAGAAAGACAAGGAGAAGAGTGATGGCAAGAAAGAGGAGAAAAAGGAGAAAAAGTAAAAGGTGTAGGTTTTTTATTTGTAAATTAAAAATCTTGTAAACTAAATCCTTGGTGCTAGGGTCTTCGATCTTGTGCTCAGCACTCTGCTCCTCATGCAGGCAGGGTTGGGGGAGCCATGTGGGGGCTTTTGATTTGACGGGATTATGCTGTTACACAGCACTTCTCCTTCCCCAGTGTGTCTTTGGGGGTGTTGAGGCCTCAGCTCATGCACTCTGCTCTTGCTGAGCGTATTCCCATGTTCCAGGGCTAATCCTTCACCATCATTTTGTGCACCACAGCCATCGCTGTGTTTAACTGGCTCTGCCGCAGCCCCTCTCGGTGTGACAGGGCTGGGATGTCACTGCTGTCAGCCCTCTGTGCCAGCCAGGCCCCAGCCCTCCCAGGGGACAGCGCTGGTGGCCCTGCCAGCCCGGCCAGGACCTGCAGCAGGCAGGGACAGAATCCATGGTGTTTGTGATCCCAGCGCTGGGCTCCGGATGGCGTTGGGGCCCTGGAGCCCCAGCCCGGCACAGAGCCCGCCCTGGGACACACGCACGGACCCAGGACACGGACAGGAGCCAGCACGCAGGCACAGCTCGGCAGCTGCTTTGTCTTTATTGCACACGAAGCCGCGCGGGGCAGGCGGGGCCGTGCGGGGCCGTGCGGGGCCGGCCGTTCCCAGACGGAGCCTTGCAGGGTCCCATCACGGACACACGGACACAGACCCAGGGTCTGTCACCTGCACACGCGGGGAGGGACAGGAGTGACCGCCGGGTGATCCTGCCCTTGCTGCGGCCCGTCCGGCAGCACGGGGAACACAGGAGTGTGGGCAGAACCAGGGTCCGAGCGCAGGCCGGCAGGGCCCCGGTAGTGCCCCGGTAGTGCCCGGAGCCCCCGGGGCTGCTGGGGAGCACCAGCTCCGAGCAGAAACCACATTTAAATACAACTGCCCGGGGTCACGGGCTGCACATCGGGACATGCCACAGACACGCTCAGCCAGGCTCTGGCTCCAGTGGCTGCGGATCTGGCCTGGGAAGGGGCTGTCCTGGCACTCACACAGTGCACAAGAGCCCCTCAGAAGCATCGTCTTGGGGGTCCCCGTCACTGTCGCTGAATGCTGGGTGCAGGATGGCACCCAGAAGTCAATCTGAGAGCCATTCTCCCCCTCACCTGCCACTACCAAAATGCCGTGGAAAGGCAGAAAACACGAGGGGGAAGAAGAGCCCCTACCAAACACATAACTCTGTCTGCGGTGGGGAGCCGGGGGGCAGCACAGGGGGCACCGGGGCTCCCCAGCCCCTCTGTGCCAGCCCTGCCAAGCTGGGCAAGCCAAGCCCTTGTGTCCTCCTCTCCCTCATCCCTCGGGTTTCCTTAGGGAGGGAGACACAGCCCCGTTCCCCCAGGGCCGTGTCAGTGCAGACCTCGCCCAGGAACAAAAGCCACAGCGTCCATAGGGGCCCGTGCACATCCCAGGGAGGGCTCGGCCGGCAGCGCTCCGGGAACGCCCCACAGCTCCATCACTCCTGTCCAAACCCTTCCGTCTCCTCGATGGCGTAAAGCAGCTTCTCCTTCAGCTGTTCATAGCTCTTGTAGGGAGGGAGATCCAGGCGGTTGAAGCTGGGGAGAGAGCGGAGGCTGGGACAGGCCAGGAGCAGCGGTGCCATCCCACAGGACGGAGCTCCCCGTGTGCCCGGCCAGCCCGAGGGGCAGCGACTTACCACGTGTGGCTCCGTGGCAGCCACGTCTCTTTGCCAACTTTATCGATGCAGAATTTCTGGGGCCCGTTGCTGCCTGTTAATGAGGAGCACAGCAAAGCTCTGTACAAGACCAGGAGCTGGAAAAGAAACCCCTCCCACACACACCGAGATCCACCATCACAGCCCTGCAATCCCAGGGTCACACAGGGCAGCATAAATCCACAGCAGCAATCCCTGCCTGTTTGCAGGGGATGTTCAAAAAACAAAGGAGAAAGCAAAAAGCAGATTCACAGCACAGAGGGGCAAGAGCACCATCTCTGAGCACCATGGTTCCACAGCAAGTGCTAAAACTCATTGATCTCTAAATCCTCAGGATTGTGTGAGTCCACCCAAGAGTTTTAAAGGACTTGGCACAGCAGGTCTGAGTCACTGAGGTGGCTTTTTAACACACTGGGAATGCTGGAGAGGTTCCAGGGGGTGGAAGAAGCTAATATGCCAGCAAGAACAACCGAGTGGGTTAAGCAAGCTGGTTGGCTTGACACAAATGCCAGGAAAGTCAGGGAAAGGCTGGTATAGGCCCCAAAAAGCAGCAAATTAAAGGAGGAATGGAACCACACTGCGGTTTTCTGAAAAAGAGGCTTTGTCGCACAAGAATCCAATCTCATTCAGACTGAGATCACAAACCAGCTCGAGGAAGTTAACCCTGGTGGGACCCTTTGGTCACAGCCAAAGAACGTGTGTGGAAACAGCACAACACCAGAGCACTGTGCTCAGACCTCCCAGCTGCCTTCCTGCCGGCGTGCTGCCGTGAGCTCTGTGAGGGGACAGGGACAGGAAGGTGCCACCCCCCAGGACACACCAATGAGCTCAGCAAAGCCCCCGACGGGCAGGCGGCAGGTCCCCGTCACGAACTGCAGCAGCCGGATCCTCTTCTCGTTGTCCATCTCCTTAACCACCTGCAGCGGGAACGCAGCAGCTGAGTGGGATCCTGGTCCCATCCCGCAGGATGCCAGGGCACCCCACGCCAGGGCACCCCACGCCCTCAGCTGGGCTCAGACTGACCTGCCAGAACCACTGGATCTGTTTGCTGTTCTTGGTGTAGTGCCTGTAGATGGTATTTTTCTGCCAGTCGTTCATGTCGATCTCCTGCATCCCGCACAGCATCAGCTGGGGACAGGGGACACTCAGCAGGGGACAGAGGGGGCCCTGTGCCCACAGTCTGAGTGCCAGCCTCTCTGGTGCCAGCCTTCACCTGGCCCAGGTGCCAGCACTGAGGCGTCTGGCACAAATTCCTCCCATCCAACGGGATGTTCTCTTGCCAACGGACCCAACGAGCCACCCCCGGACCCAACGCCCGGGGCTGTCATCAGCCGATGGGCACAGAGCAAGAGCCGGGTCACCACGTGCCACTTTCCATCCACATCCCCAGCCCAGGTGCCAGCTCACCTCCAGCTCCTTCTCGTCGAAGTAGCGCAGCCACTCAAGCGGCACCACCTCATTGAAGCCGTCCAGGAACGCCTTGGTCTGCTCCTCCACGCCCCGTGTGAACCTCCAGTCCGTCAGCAGCCTGGGGAGGCAGAGGGGTGGCACTGAGCCAGCGCCGCTGGCCTGGCACGGGGAAACCCCAGGATCCCTCCCACCAGCAGGGAGGGCCCCGGGAGTGTGGGGAAGGGGACAGGGGCTCCCTCAAAGCACCAGGGCTCCCCTCAATTCCCACTGGTGGGTTTCTGTCTCTGCCCCCAAACCCACGAACAGCGTTCAGCCCCGACAGCAGCCTTGGGAGCTCCAGGGGTGCAAACCACATCCCCTGGCTGGAGCTGAGCTGGCCCTGGCAGCCCCCAGGCAGGCAGGGGGAACAGCCATAGGAGGGGAAAGCAGCCTCAGCCTCTCTCCCCTCTCCTTTTTCCTGAAAGTACTGGCAACTGCCCAGCCCGCAGCAATCCAGACCGCAGCAGAGCTCAGCCAGCCACGCCAGCCCGGCTCGTCACAGGCCACGTAGCCCAGGGAAGCGGCCACGTCCCAGGCCCCCGGTCCCACCCCTGCAGGCGCTGGGGGCGGGTGCCTGACAGGAGCCTTGGGACAGCCACTCACATGATGTACTCCTCCTTGTTCTCCTCCGTCACACGGATGCTCTCACCACCCTCCTTCAGCTCGTGGGTGGTCACCTTGCCCAGGATCTCCATGTCCTGGATGAAGTAGAGCTCCAGGCCGCACTCCTCCAGGCTGTTCTCCCTGTGGGGGAAACCGGGATGTGATTCCTGATGGAGGCACCCAGCAGCAGCGAGGGGCTGTGGGGAGAGCTCTGCAGGAGGGAGTGCAGCACTCACTTGGTCCAGACGATGGAGTTGTAGAACTCAGGGTCGATGGACTCCAGGTCCTTCAGCGTCGGGCGCTTGTTCAGCATGCGTTTGTAGAAGGGCAGCGTGAAGCCGGTGTCGATGAACTTCCCGTGGTACAGAGCCTGTGGCAGGGAGGGACACCAGGTCACAGGGGACCCCGAGACCCTGGGGCAAGACAATGCTCCACCCTGGGGCAGCCATGGGGCAGAAGGGACTCATTCGGGGGTTCCTGAGCTACAGCACTTGCTCCTGGCTGGCACACAGGGAGGGGAAGGGTGGGCTGCCCCAACAGCACTCCCTGGGCTTAGTGGGCTGCATCCCCTCTCCCTCCCCACGGTAAATTCCACTGCATCTCCCTCTCCTCTCACAGCTCTATTAAGAGCACTTGTTTAAACAGAGCTGTGCTGTGGCTTCCCTGAATCCCTGGCTTCCAGGAGCCCCGAGGCAAAAGCAGCCAAAAATAATGCAGACGCTTGTCTAGAGCGGCCCAGCGGTGAGTAATAGTCTGGGGTTTTATTGGTATCCTGCGAGGCGGGGCAGGGCAGGACAGCGGCGCTGGAGCCGCCCCCACACACACCCTGGGGGCTGCGGGCCAGGGACCCTTCCCCGGGCTCGGGGAGCCCCGGCAGCCCCTGCCAGCCCAGCCCGGGCACGCTGGCCTTGAGCAATCCGAGACAAACGGGAGGAGCTGCTCTGGAGCTTGGGCAGCTGGAAAATCTCACACTGCTGGGACTAAAAATAGCCTCTGGAGCTGCAGACCCGACAGCACCTGGGGTGGCAGCCAAAGACCTGGAGCCATCCATCCCTGCCACAACTCCTGGGAAACCAGGTCTGCTCTGGCCCCACAGCCATTCCGTGGATTTGAAATGCATCACCCCGCAGCACCCCCTTACCATCTGCCACTGACCCACACGTGGGCATGAGGGGCTCGGGGAGGGCAGCAGTGCCGAGCCCAGCACAGCCACGGCACATGAGCTGCCCTGTGCCCTGCTGAGCACCCCAAAGCCCCGGTGCGACCCCGGCCCTCACCATGGCGATGAAGCGGCCGATGAAGCGGAAGTAGGTGAGGTGGTCGGGGTTGATGGAGGAGGCGGGGTTGATCTGCAGGCAGTAGTTGTTCTTGCCCGCGTACTCGAAGAGGCAGTACATGGGGTTGAGCACCTCGTGGGACAGGAGGAAGAACCACTCCCTGGAAGGAGACAGGGGCACACGGTGACAGGCAGCTCAGGGAGGGGACATGCATGTCCCTGCATCAAGCGAGTGCCCACCTCCTCAAGGTGCCAGGCAGGTGTTGGTGTGACTGGGCGAGGCTGCTCCCCTCCCCGGGGTGCTCTGTGGGGTTTGTGAAGTGTTTCTGGAGACGTCAGCTTGCTGCAGGCCCCACTCAGAGCATCGGGAACCTCGGCAAGTGCCACACACAGTCCCAGCTGGGCTGTCCCACACACACACACCCCCCCTGAGTGCACCCAGTCCCTGCACACACTGCCCAGGAGCCCCACACCGAGCTCGGGACAGCACCGTCCTGGCTTTGCTCGCCCGGCCGTGCCGGCAGACAGGAATCCTCAGACGTGGAGGCAGCCCCGGCATCCTGTCCGTGGTTCTACCCTGTGGTAGAACAGCATGACGTAACCTACCATAGGGTAAAACCACTGGCAGGACACGGAGAGAGGTGGAGCAGGAGCGGGAGCCGGGGCAGCAGGCGAGCGCGGAGCGGCAGCGGGCAGGGACACGCCAGCCGAGCTCCAAGGAGGTGTCCCAGGTGAGCCAGAGGGGGCTGACAGGGACACAGGGCCCCCTCCAGCCAAGCCACAGCCCATGCCCTGTGGTAACACCATCCCAGGGCAGCAGCAGAGCTGCAGAAACCACATCACACCCTGTCTGCCCTGGCACACACTGACTGCCTGGGAACACCAGGGCCCATTTGCTGCAGGGAGACGAGGCCACTCAGCCCATTGCCCCCACAACTGGGGGCAGCAGGGGAGCCCCTGTGCTCCCACTGCCAGGGACAGGCTGGTGCAGTGCTTTCAGGGTGTTTCCCTGCTCCTAAAACCCAGCTGCCCATGTGAATGCCCCTGGACTCCTGTGCTGGAGGGCTGGGAGCCCTGAGTGCAGCTGTGTGCTGCCCACGGGACGCAGGGCACAGGCAGGGCATGGCCCTGTGGCCCAGCAGGCCACGCTCACCTGGCGATGCCACCGTAGTCCAGGCCCTCCTCCCCTCGCATGATGATGTACAGCCGGCGCCGCAGGTCGTACGGCTTCATGTTCATGATCTGGGGACGAGCGGGGCAGGTGTCACCATGGAGGGGCCAGTTCCATTCCTGCAGCCTGCCCCGCTCCTGCAGCCTGCCCCACTCCTGCAGCCAGCCCTGCTCCTGCCCACCTGCACGCCCCGGCACCTCCCTACCTGCTGGAAGGAGTCCTCGAAGAGCGTCTGCCGAGACACGCTGATCTTCACGTGGCTGGGCAGCGCGTTGGACTGCAGGGAGGCCAAAGGCCGTGAGAGGCTGGCACGCTTCTCCTCACCCACACCTGAGCCCCACAGGGCTCAGGGCACCCACCCAGCTGCCCACAGCCGCTACTCACGTGGCAGAGGAAGCGGAACTGGTGGTACTTCCAGCGAAAGCTCCGGTCGTAGGCGCCCGGGGAGCCGCCGTGCTTGCTCCTGCCAAAGCAGCAGGGCCCCGGTCACACCCCACACCTGCCTGAGCACCCCGTCAGGAGCCAGGCGGGACGAGGGCCACGGGGAGCAGCTCTCCTGGGGCAGAGCTCACGCCAGCCCCCGGGCGCGCTGCTGGGGCTTACCCAGACTCGAAGCCCGGGCGCGGGTCCTTGAAGGTGGTGGTGCGGGTGTTGTGGTCCACGAAGTACCGCACACTCTCGTTCGTGTACTTCATCTCCCAGCCCGGCGGCAGCGGCGGCTCCTGGATCATCCTGCTGGCAAGGAGGGGCTCACCAGACAGGCCCTTCGGGCAGTGCCCCCTCAACTACAGCTCTGTGCCAGGCAGGAGGCAGGATTCATGCGTGGGACTGGCGAGTGACTGCCCACACCTCGGGAGGAGAGTCCTGCCTGGGCAGCACCCCGGCCACGGCACGCTCAGAGCTTCCCCCTCCATCTGTGGGACACACGGCCTCAGTGCAGGCCAGGTCCCTGGAGGACTGCACCGTCCCAAACCCTGCTCCCCCCACGGCCGCCTACCCCTGAGTGCGAGGGTCTTCCCACTGTGTGGTGCGGGTGTTGTGGTTCACGTAATACACTCGCCCATTGTCCTGTCTCTTCTCTAGGAGAAAAGGGAGAGAAAGCGTTAGCTGGAGTCCTGGGAACAGCCCTCCCCTTCCCAGCTCACAGGAAATTTGTCAGCTCCCCCATTCCACCTCCCTGGCTCATTTGGAAAAGGCGGGATAAACCCCACGTTCCTCCCGTGTGCCCAAGCTGCCTCAGCCCGGCGGTGCCAGCGTGCAGGAGGTGCCAGGGCAGAGGCCAGCGCTGCCAGGCCGGCACAGGGGCTGTGCTCAGCCACACACCCTCGTGGCACACACACAGCCCCTCCTGGGACACGCAGCAGGATCCATCCACACGGATCCACTGGTGCTTTCGCAAGCTCCCTGCATGGCCTTGCTTCCAGTGCACACGTGTGTGAACACACACCCTGCCTGTGCTGCACACAGGCACAAAACAGCTCCAGCACACACCCCCTGCCTCCCTGGCACTGCGTGTGCTCTGCACCTCCTCCTCCTCCATGTGCTGCATCATTTCCCCATGCCAGCCCTGCACCAAGCAGGCAGGGACACCCTGTCACCTCCCGGTCACCCTTCTGGCCAGTGCCAGCCCCTTGCTCCATCTCACTCCGGGACTGTGGGCAGCAGCCCCCAAATGATGGCCAGGACTGCATCCATCCCAGGGATCCCACCCGTCCTGGGAACCCCCAGCCCGTGCTGCTGTGCCTCCCCAGCCTGCCCAGCTGGGACTGGGGATGGGTCCCATCTCCTTGCAGATGGGGGGGAGCACCCAGCAAGGGCTCCACCACCACCCCCATCAAGACACTGCCCCTGCAGACTGCCTGAGCAGCCTTGGCCCCTCTCTCCTGCCCCAACCTCCCACAACTTCAACCCTTCTCCTGCTCTCTCTGGCACAGCCCAGCCCAGCTGCACCCACCAGCATCCCAGCCTGCCCTCTCCAGGGATGCTCTCACCATGGAGGGGATCTCTTTGTCCTGGGGGTGGCACAGGGACTTTTCAAAATGTCCCAGCACACAATGCTTGGGCCATTTGGGGATGACCAGCTCTGTTCCTGCCAGCTCTCAGCCCTACTCCAGACCCAGGCAGAGCATCCCAGGAGGCAGCACAGCAGCGGGATGGATCCCTGCTCACCAGAGGAGGGGTCCAGGGACAAGCAAGGACTTCCATCCCCAAGCTGGGGATCATCCCCAACCCAAAGAACAACCACAAGCACTTCTGCATTCAGCAGCTGAGAGAGGCTGGGAACTCCTCCAGGAAAAGGGGAAGGCAGGGGAAAAAAAGCTGAATTTCACATAAGAGATCGTGCTAGTCAGAGGCAGACTCAGTCCCACGTGCAGCCGAGCACAGGGAGTGCTGGCTCCATGGTCACCCTTCCCAGCAGGGCCAGGGATGGGAGCGGGGGAGCTGCTGGAGCTGCCGGGGGTGGGCAGGAGTGTCCGGGGCACGCAGGGCAGGTGAGGCATCAGTACTTACCCCAGCCGGGAGGAAGGGGCCCCAGAGGATCATTGTCGGACGGGGCTCCGGAGGACTAGAGAGAGCAAAAACACGAGTAAACCCCAGACAGAGCCGGGATGGCCGGGAGGAGCAGAGCGCAGAGGTGAGCCGGCCGGCCCCGCTTCCACTCGCCTCTCCTTGGCTCCAGGGAACTAAAAAAAAACTTGCACGCTCAAGGGGGGTTAAAAAAAGAAACAAAAAAAGCAAATGATAAAAAAACCCCAAACCAAAACAAAAAAAGGCCAGAAGCTGAGGCGAAGCAGGGCTGGGCAGCCAAGGGCAGCGGGCAGGGCTGTGCCGGCCGGAGGGCTCGGGACGTGCGCGGCTGCTCGGCGTCCCCTCCGGTACACCTCCAGCCTCCTCCAAGAACCACACACAAGCGGGGAAAAAATATCGCAGGCCTTTCCAATGAAATCATTCCCACAAGCGCTGTCCACGCCCCGCGCTTCCTGGCGGGACGGCGGCCCCCTCCTCCGCGGGCAGGGCCGGTGCGGGATGCACCGAGCCCGGCCCGGCCCGGCCCGGCCCCGCCCGGCCCGCACAGAGCCCCTTTCTCCCGGCCCGGCCCCGCCCGGCCCGCACAGAGCCCCTTTCTCCGGTCTGGCCCGGCCCGGCCCCGCCCGGCCCGCACAGAGCCCCTTTCTCCGGTCTGGCCCGGCCCGGCCCCGCCCGGCCCGCACAGAGCCCCTTTCTCCCCGCCCAGCCCGGCCCGGCCCTGCCCGGCCCGCACAGAGCCCCTTTCTCCCGGTCCGGCCCCGCACGGCCCGGCACGGCCCCGCCCGGCCCCGCACAGAGCCCATTTCTCCCGGTCTGGCCCCGCCCGGCCCGCACAAAGCCCATTTCTCCCCTCCCGGTCCGGTCCAACCCAGCACGGCCCCGCACAAAGCCCTTTTCTCCCGGCCCGGCCCGGCCCCGCACGAAGCCCCTTTCCCCCGCCCGGTCCGGTCCGGCCCGGCCCCGCTGTCTGCCCCGCTGGGCAAACCCCGCTGGGCTCCCTGCCCGCGGAGGGTCCCGGGGCCCAGGGCACCTGCAAGTGCTCTGAATGGTTAAATGAGAAACGCATCTGACCCAAAAGGTACAATCCCGTCGGCTGGAGCAGGGCTGTGTCCCAGCTCCCGTGCCGGGATGGATCCCAGGGGATGGCACCCGCAGCCAGAGCCGGCTCTCCTGCTGGAACCTGGCCCTCGGGGTGCCAGGGCCCCCCCACTCCCAGAAAGGCACCGAAACCCGGGTGGGTGCAGCTCATGGCAGCCAGCACCACAGTCTGTGCCCCTCCAAGCACCCACCCCCTGTGCCAGGACTGGCATGGCCAGCACCGCTCCAACCTGGGCAGTGCCCACTCCCTCCCGCCAGGACAGGCTGCCCACGCAGACAGCCCAGTCGTGTCCAGCGGTACCACCTCTCTGGCACCTCAGAACAGCTAATGAAAGCTGCCAGGGCAGAGCTCCGGGCAGCTCCTGCAGCTCCCCTCAGCCCTGGGAGCAACCTGGCCCCCGTGCCAAAGACCCTCCCTGCAAAGGATGTGGCACTGGGGCATCTGCTGGGAGAGTGGTCCCTGGCTTCACCCGAGCCCCCAAACCGTGCCTTTCCCAGACTCTGCCCCACTGCTCAGCACCCCCATACCATCCCCTCCAGCAAGGAGGGCAGAGGGATGCTGGAGGCAGGAGCAGGTCAAGCAGAGAGCCCCTGTGGGGCAGGAGGCAGAGCAGGAGCCATCTCTGCTAGCAGCAGGGCTCGAAACAAAAAGCACAATCGTTCCATCAGGCTAAATTTGGAGCCGAGTCCCTCCCTGGGCAGGGCAGAGCGTGGCCAGGGCAGTCGCAGGGCCTGGAGCAGCTCCAAGGCTGGCGCGGGCAGGGAGGAGGGGCACGGTGGGAGCCCTCCCAGGGGAGCCCCTCCACTGGGCAGAGACAGGGCCAGCACGGGAGTGGGGTCCAGCTCTGCCCTGAGCCTTGGAAGGGTCGGAGGGACACCCAGGGAGGGACAGGCAGGGGGAGGAGAGGGGCTGAGCTGCTCCCGCAGCCCCGGGAGTGGCCCCGGTTGTGTCCCACACAGAATGCACTTTGCACTACACCCCCTCCCAGAGAGCAGCTGAGCTCCTGGATGGAGCCCTGAGCTCACTCCAGTCCCAGCTGGGCCTGCTGGCTTTCTCTGAGGAGATAAAGTCCATGAGAAGTTGGTCCCTGCAGTGCCCACCTTCCCTGCATGGCTGCTCACCTGCCCCTGGCAGGAGCGCAGGCTCAGCCCTGCCTGGGGCCGGATCCCTGCTCCAGGAGGCAGAACCGCTCCAGCCCAGCCCTGTGCCCAGCCCTGCAGCCCTGCAGCCCTGCAGCCCTGCAGCCCACGGCCAGCAGCGCTGCTCAGGGCAGCAGAGGTGCTCACCCCCTGCAGCTGGGTCCAGGTCCAGGCAAAGGTTCAGCCAGGACAGGTGTGGTCCCTGCCCAGGAAAAGAATGGTTGAGACCATTCCCTGGGCAAGGAAATGCAAATACTCAGCCCAAACCAGGAATGGGGGGAAGCAGCAGATAAAGCAGGAAGGTGCTGGCCAAGTCTAGCTCATTCTCTGCACTCTCTGGTCCCTGGCTCCTGCAGCCCTCTCCATTTGTACCCTGAGCCTGCAGCTCCAGGACCCAGCCATGATGTCCTGAGCCCAACAGAGACCTGGGGAGGGACGAGCTCGGGCCCCAGAGCCTCCTGTCCTGCTACACACCAGGCTGCCATGGTTCCCCGAGCTCCGACAGCAGGTTCTTCAGCCCCACAGGTCAGCAGCAAGGCTTGTCTGACGGGAGCCACAGGAGAATGTGTGGCTGGCCACAGCAGCACTGGAGAAACCTCGGGGACAAGCTGCTGAGGACACCTCCCACCACCCTTCAGGGCCATGCAAGCTGGTTTACAGAAAGCAAGTCACTCCCCCAGGGCCTCTGCAGGCAGCTCAGAGTGTGTGAGCTCTCACCCAGGCACTGCTCTGAGCTCACACAGACCACACAGAGCCCAGCAGGCACCTGCCCACACTCTGCGCTCCCAGGCACCCCGGTGAGGCCAGCGGGAGAGGCAGGTGAGACCCTGGCACTGCCACCCCAGCTCTCACCTGGTACAGGAACCTCTGGCTGAACTGCTGCATGGCCCCTTGCAGCTGGCTGCGCTGCGACTGCCACTGCTCGTAGTTCCTGACGTACTCGGCCGTGGGGCGCTGCCACGTGGTGGTCCGGGTGTTGTGGTCCACGTAGTAATACCTGCCGCGAGGGTCCACGCGTTTCTCCCACCTGGAAGCACCCAAGGAAGCTGTCACTGTGTGGCTCACGCCGCCTGGGTGCTGCGGACTGACACCCTCTGACACCAGGGCTCCGTGCCCAGCTCCAGAACCACTGCTTTCACACCTAAAGGGGCTCTTCTGGACAAGGACCCGCCAAAAGGAAACACAAAGGATGAGTAACTCCTCCAGTAGCGCCTGCAAGGGCACACGAAGCCTGACGGGTGCTGGGACTGCTGGAGCTCCCACCAGGATGCCGTGAACATCCCCCAAGACAGCGAGCGAGCCTGTGCCTGCAGCCCCCAGCCCCTTACCCTGGAGGAAGGGGTCTCTCCCACGTCGTGGTCTTGTTGTTGTGGTCTACATAGTAGACTCTACCATTTGGCAGCTCCCGCTGTTCCCACCTGCAGGGAAAATAAACCATGAGGCAGGTGATATTTGCTGGCACCAAGAACATCCGGAGAGCTGCTCCTGCTGGGTCAGGGAGCCCAGCCCCTCACATCCTTGGCATTCCAGCCTTTATTTGACAGCTCTGTGTGGCAGCTACTGGGCCTGAGAGGGGCTGCAGCAACTCTGCTTCCTCAACAGGCATAGCTGGAGCATAAACTCCTAATTTCCCCCAGAAAGGTCAGCATTGGATTTCACAGAGGGTCAGTTTTATGCCCTGTGTTTCTGATGTTTTTGTTTGGTTTCTCTTAATACATCTTCAAAGGGGAGTGTTTGAGCTGGGGCTGGGATCTCTCCCTGGCAGCCCTGGGCTTGCTGCTGACAGCTGCAGCTTAAACACACGTGTGGCCACGGTGCTGGGGCTGGGGTGGCCCTGAGGACAGCCCAGGTGACAGCAAGCCTGGCTGTACAGGGCCACGCTGCAACCATTCTTTGTGTGAATTCATTCATGAATTTACCCTGGCAAAGGTAAATGATCTGTGGAGCCCGTGCTCTCTTGTCAGCTTTTATCCTGCAGCAGAGGAGGCGAGCCAGCAGCTGCTGACAGATCAAGTGTTCTCCTGCCACACTTCTGCTCCCACAGGCCTCTCTCCCCACGCAATCATCTGTCTCAATTAATCACCACAAAAAGCTCTAGGAAATTAATACAGCAGCTTCTGTGTGGCAGCAAGGGAGCCAGCCCAGGCTGGCAGGCAGCAGGCAGCCTGGGGATGGAGCTGCTCCGAGTGCTGGTGCCCCACAGCCCGGGCTCACCCCAGCTCAGCCCCACAGCTGCAGGGACAGCAATGCCACCACCGCAGCCACACACCTGCAGGGACACAGCTCAACTGCACTGCAGCCAGTGCAACACCAATGTTGCTTCCAGTCAGCAGCACTGGACCCTTCTCCCCCCTGGCACAGGTCAGACACACCGGTGGGTCTCCCTGACAGGGAGTCCCAGGCAGGACCTGCTGTGCCCCTGCAGCGTAAGAGTGGGGGGCTGCCAAGCCTGACACCAGCCACTTTCCTGCTCGCAAACCACGAACATGGTGCTTCATGAGCATAAAAGTGCCAGGACAGGTAAAACAAGAGCGAAATCTCTAAAGAAAATCAGCACAGCTGGGGTGTCCTAAGACATGAGCCCCATGAGACAGATGGCAGAAGGTGCCCAGGCACTTTTAGGGCAGTGGAACTGCCCTGGACAGCTCCTCCAGTCTCATTAACAACAGATGCTCTGATCCATACAGCTCTGAGGACTGGGAAGGTGCCATTCCTGTGGCTATAGAGACCCGAATTCCCATGATGAGAATTCCTCCAGGTTTCTGGATCCCTCTGGGTGCCCTCATGACTGCAAAGAGCCACATGGGACTGGGCAGAGCTGCTGGTGGTGGCAGCTATTGCCTGATGTCCCCTGTCCCCACCTCACCCCCTGTAAAAACACTGATGAGCTCACAAACTGCTCACCAGCAGCTCCTGGGTGGTGTGAGGAGTGAATCTTCTGAGGGCTGGCTCACCCTGTGAGCCAGTGGTGATGAACAGTGGTTACTGCTGCCACACAGAGATGGGGACAATGGGGACAACCCATCCTCACTCAGACCACCTTGCCCAGCTCCACACGACCCCCAGCATGGGAGATCCACGGCTTTGGGAGCTCTCCCTGCAAGCACCAAAAAGCACCCAACATGCCAGTCCCTGCCAGCTCTCCTCCAGCTGCCCACAGGCTCTCGATGGCCATGGATGCAGAGAGCCACAGGCACTGGGAAGTGGCAGAGCTGAGGGAACCCTGCAGTCCAAACAAAACGGCCTCCTTACGTAAGAAACCACAGCCCCGTGGGCTCTGCCAGGCAGCATAAAGCACCTCTTTGTGCGGGCAAGGCAGCGGCGCACACCCCCCCGGCCGCTGTCCCGCACGGGATCATCCCTGATGGGATCCAGATGCGGGAGCCAGCGGCCCCCTCCCCTCCCTTCACTGCCAATCCTCTCAGAAAGCCCAGCAGCAGAGCTGGGACCCCGGGCTGGGACCCCGGGGCACCGCACACTCCCCTCCGCAGGGGAACGCTGCCCACAGGGTGTGAAGGAGGTTTGGGCACTGTCGGGCTGGAATCACTCAGAACTCCTTCCAGCCCTCTCCAGCCCCAAGGACAGACTCCCAGTTGTGTGAGGGATGCCTTTGAGCCACCACACCTGGTGCAGATGTTGAGACGCAGAGATCCGAGCACAGCAAATGGCTCGGGATCCCCACATGAACCCAAGCGCCTGTCACGGCCCAGAACGAGCAGGGAGGCTGGGGCCACCCTCCAGAGGCTCAGGGGAGTGCTCCCCACGCTCCCAGGGAAGGAAGGAGACACGCAGAGATCAGGGCAGGGCTCAGGAGGGATGTGCCTGGCAGCTCTGCAGGGAACTTTGCTCCTTGGAGTGGCAGAGCAGGAGCCGCCCCCGTGGGCCCGGCAGTGCTCTCACAGCCAGCCCAGCAAGGGCTCTCCTGCATCCCCACCTCCTCAGCTGGGCCCCAAACCACCAGTCAGAACAATTCCGTGGTGAGGTGAGCCTGCCAAAAACCAGCCTCTCTGGAGCAGGGCTCAAGAGAACTGCAGAAGCACATTTACACCACCCCAGGGACAGACACAGCCCCGTGCAATCCCAGCTCAGCAAATCCCCGTTAGCCCAGGGCCTGCTCTGGCAGCTCCCTGGAACCTCGATGCACCCAGCTCCCCGCTCTCCTTCACCCTTGGTCTCTGGTCTCCCCTGCCCAGGCCAGCACAGCACAAGCACAGCTCATGCTGCCTTCTTTCCCCCTACAGATCCCACAGCCAGCACAGAAGGTGCTAATTAAAGGTGTCTCCAGAGATCCCGATTCCAGGAGTTTAGCCTGGAGAATGCCTCACCACCCCTCCAATGTTCCTGTCCATCCAGCTCCCAAAGCACAATAGCTTTATCCTCCTCCCTGCTCTGACAGACTGATTCTCTGGTGTGTGAGCTCCACAGGGAGATGGGCAAGGAGGACACAGCCACCTTTCCCTCAGGGTGGGCCAGGTAAACCCAGCCTGCTGTGCCTCAGAAAGCAGCGCCTGCAGCCTCCAGAACCCGGAGCTGTCTGCAGCCTTCCCTGCCCGGCAAAGAAACAGCAGCCTGCTTCCAACCCCAGGTGGGGAAAAGGAGACCTGCAGTCTACCTGGTAGGAGCAGAAAGGGGCACAAGCTCTGGCTGGAATAAAGGCCTTTTTGAGAGCACTGGACTTTTCCAGCTGCCTGGAAACAGGAAGCGCCCAGGCCAGGAGAACAGAAACCCTCACACACGGGCATAAAGGCACAGTGAGCCGTTAACCCTAATTACCTGTGACTGACACGCCAGCAGGGCCCTGACCTTCCAGGCATCGCCTCAGCCGAAGCAAAATAAACAGCTCCCTTCATCCCAAACACAGGCCCTCTCACCCCCGCCCACAATTCAGGGCTCTGACACAAGGGGAGAACGGTGCAGCTGCAGCACACTGGGGGCTGAGCCCAGACCCCACTGCTGCCCCCCACCCCGAGCCAGCAGCTCCCACTCCCCTCCAGCCCCTCCAGACCCCACTGCTGCCCCCCACCCCGAGCCAGCAGCTCCCACTCCCCTCCAGCCACTCCAGACCCCACTGCTGCCCCCCACCCCGAGCCAGCAGCTCCCACTCCCCTCCAGCCACTCCAGACCCCACTGCTGCCCCTCACCCCGAGCCAGCAGCTCCCACTCCCCTCCAGCCCCTTCCCCACGTCCCCTGGAGAAGGAGGAGAAGGATGAGCATCCGCACCAGGGAGAACGAGCACCACTACTCGAGGGTCCTGCCCCTGTCCCCAGCAGTGGCCAATGCCTCTGTGGTGTCCCCAGAGCGTCTGTGCCCTCCTGCTCAGTGAGAGCTCCCTGAAAATCCACGCTCAATCTCCCGGGCGTTTTCCTCTGACTGATCCCTCGAGGAGCCCCATGAGAGCAGAAGGCTCTGCTGCTCCACGGGCACAGAGATGTCACCCGCTGTCCAGTGCCCCAAACACCCAGTGGGCACAGCCCAGAGCGTCCTGGGCAGGCAGGCAGGACAGGGAGCACCGGCTGTGCCAGGCAGGGGGCACAGGACCCCCAGCACCTGCCCCAGGCCCTCCCTGTTCTGCTGAGCACCAGCATCCCCAGCAGCTCCTGGGGCAGCACTTTCCCTCCCTCACACAGCCTCTGGTCCCAGCACACAGCAGTGCCCCAGCTGGCTCCTGTGCCCCTCCCCGAGGGCCACAGACAGAGCTCACCTGGGGGGCACAGCTTACCTGGGGGGGAAGAGATTACCCAAGGGGCAGAGCTTACCTGGGGGGGAAGAGATTACCCAATAGGCAGAGCTCACCTGGGGGGCACATCTTACCTGGGGGGGAAGAGATTACCCAAGGGGCAGAGTTTACCTGGGGGGGAAGCAGAGCTTACCCTGGGGGCACAGTTTACCTGGGAGGGAAGAGATTACCCAAGGGGCAGAGCTTACCTGGGGGGCATATCTTACCCAGGGGCCAGATCTTAACCCAGGGGGGAAGCAGAGCTTACCCTGGGGGGCACAGCTTACCTTGGGGGGCACAGTTTACCTTGGGGGGGAAGAGATTATCCAAGGGGCAGAGCTTACCTGGGGGGCACAGCTTACCTGGGGGGGAAGAGATTACCCAAGGGGCACAGCTTACCCGGGGGGAAGCAGAGCTTACCCAGGGGGAAAAGCAGAGCTTAACCCAGGGGGAAAGCAGAGCTTACCGGAGGGGCACAGCTTACCCTGAGGGGGAAGCAGAGCTTACCCGGGGGGCAGAGCATCCAGGGCGAGCGCCCGTGCCGGGGGCACACTGGGGCCCGAGGCCGGCTCCTCCGCCTCTCTGGAGCCGCTGAGGGCAGGAGGGGCAGGGGCAGCGGGGCCCTCGGCCGGGCCGGACGCCGGGGACGGAACGCTGGCCCCTGCCGCCGGCCTGTCCTCATCCATGTCCACGGCAGCCACGGCGTCCCCGTTCACTGCAAGGCAGAGGGCAGCAGGTCAGCACAGGCAGGGCAAGGCCGGCTGACCCTCCCGGGAGCAGCCCCAGCACGGCACCCTCAGGGCTCCCAGCCTGCAGCACAGGCAGCACCTGCTTCACCCACACCCCTCCTGAACCACTGCCATCGCCCCCGTCCTGAGACACGAGCAAAACGTGCTTTGCATTTGTGCCCAGGGTCTGTGCTGCCACTGGGAACAGGCTGCGACCCAGGTGGGAACTCAGGGAATGAGAGGGAGCCCCAGAACAGTGGGGCCAGCAGCTCCCCTGAGGCAGAGTGAAACCCAGGCTCCACAAGCCAACTGCACTGGAAAGAGCTAAATGTTCCTGGATTCCACTGAACCTTTGGAAAAGGGAAGAGACAGAGCAAAGAAAACTACTGAGGAGGAAAATTAAGAGCAAAAAAAAAAAAAAGAAAGGGAATTTGTTAGAGGAATATTTATTAGACACCAAAACCCCAAGACCTGGCAGCCCAGCTGTACCTTTGGTACAAGATATCCTGGCTGGAGTGATAAAGCAAAAGCTTTATAAAAACCCACGCACAAGGAACAAAGGAGTGAGGGATGCAGATGTGCTTCCATGAGCTAGAGCTGAGAAATGTAAAAAACTGTAAGGGAAGCCCAAACATCTAGAAGCATTGTAGGAAAAAGCAGGATAAACCCTCATGGAAGGGAGACTAAAGAGCTGCAGCTGCTCTGTAGAAGAGGCAGAATGCTCAGGACACTCTGCTTGGCAGCTGGAGGGTGGCCAGCACCAGAGGGATCCTGGGACACATGAGCAGCTGGAGGTAAAGCAGATTTCCAGGTCAGCAGCAACTTCCACCAGTCCTGCAGGACTCAGCTGAGGGAGTCTCTGACTGCCCCTTATCTCCAGCAAGCCTGGGAAAAGGTCATTTCAGAAGCTTCAGTCATGTTGTGAGAAGCTTCAAAGGGAACCTGCAGCAGGACCCAAGTGATCTCAGTCCTGGACAAAGCAGGAAAAGCTGATCCAAAGTTCACCTGGATAAGGAAGGGCTCTGGAGGGAACATAACAAGGGCTGAACATTGTGGCTGTGGGGAAAACACACCCGGGAATAATCTCCTTTTATTGTCAGCTGAAATTACAGCCCTGAGTGACAAATGTAATGGGGATGTTCTTGCAACAACCTGCTTGAAAAACATGGCAGTGTCACCAAATGGGCCAAACTGAGGGGGAAGAGGTTGGTTTCTAGAGGCATTCCAGGGTGTCCAGCACTAACCCCAGCCACACAGAACACTCCTCTCTCCACCCCGAGCCTTTGCTGACCTGTGGGAGGCATGGAGAGTGGTACAACAGCAACAAGGACAGCACAGTCATAAAGCCACCAGGGAGGCTGTGGCTGGCCAGTAAAAAGTGCTTTAAATACACCAAAGCCAAGGAGCCAAGTCACACTTAGGATCAAAATCCCTGTCCCCAGCCTGAGGGACTGTCCACAGAGCGAGGAGCCTGGGGAGGGTTGGGCTTTGGCAAAAATGGGCTCTGGCAAAATTGAAATTGCATTGCTCCAGGTTTTCCAATGCAAAAAATACCAAACTCCTGGGTTGAACAGCACGTTTCCTTTTATCCAAAACAAAGCACTCTGCCTCTTCTTCATCTCCCACAAAAGCAAATGCAGTGCAGAGGAGCAGGAGATGCTCCACAAGAGCCACAGAAGTAAAACAGATCAGCCATGTGTGACTTCATAGTCAGGTACTCAGCAGGTCCCAGTCCTGCTCCACAAGGGATTTATGGCTTTGTGGACAAATCTAAGAAATGACAAGAGAAATCTTTCCAAAAATAGCCAGTCTTGAAAGAAGCCCTGTTTGAGAGGTGAGTTTGTGCCTTGTCTGGTGCTTGACAGGCAGCTGCTCCTGCCCCCTTCAGAGCTCAGAACATTTTCACTGAAGACTGACGGCACATTCAGCTGAACCCTGGAAAAAGCCTACTCGGTGGTGACCACTGTCCTCCTCACTGTGACAGCAGTGTCACTGCTGTCCCAGTATCCTTTTGAACACCTGGAGCAGTGACTCCAGAGTGGAGTCACAGAAATCATTCCTGACAGGCAGCACAGATCCTCCCAGCGCACTCAGCGGAGCTGCCTGGCTTACCAGAAGGAAAATCAATAAAAACCCATCAATGCACAGGGACTAAATTCCCAGGCACTACGAGATGCATCACAAATCTCAGCAGAGACTGATTTTCTCCACAGAGAATAGCCCTGAGCTCTGCCCGCACCTCCCACGAGCCCTGGGTCACCTGTGCCATTTGCCACGCAGTTGGCCATGCTGGTGGCCGTGCTGGTGTGCTGTGAGCTCTTGGCCTGCTGCCGGTGCCGGCTCCTGGCACCGGGACTTTGCTCTCCACTCCCCGTGTTCCCCCGGGCTGCTCCGGCCGCATGTCGGTGCGTCCTGCAAGGGAGGGAGCACAGGAGGTGAGAGACATCCCATGGAAAATGCAACTCCTGCCCTTCCACCCTGGGCTTCTGCTGCTTCTGCCCAGCACAGCCACCGGTGTTCCCCGGGAAGGGACAGGATATGGTTCCATGCCTCTGCTGAGGGCAGTGCTCGGAGCTTCATGCTGCCTGCTCAGACCTGCCCACAGTCCTGGCACACACCTGCTGGTGGCAGAGACCCACAGAGGAGTTACCTGGGGGACACCACCTTGCTTTCTTCACACGGGTCACTCTGTGTGCCAGGGAATGGCCCTGGACGCTCACAGCCAGACACACAGTGGATCCCCGCTCGCTCCGTCCACCCTGCAGATCCCAGGAGATCCCACGGCAGCCCTGGGTCCTGCACCATGGTGGGGACCCTCCCCAGTGCCTCGTGCCCGGCCCCAAGCCCAGCACAGAGGCAGGTGAGGAAGGTGCTCCCAGGGCAGCTGTGGCTCAAAGGAGAGAACAAGCAGGCAGGGCAGGTGAGAGCTGAAATCACAGCACGAGCTGTGACCAGCTCAGGTGCAGCTGTTCCATCTCTTGGGGGTCACTGCCACCCTGGAGCTCACCTGCCACCTTTCTCCATGGCCAGGGCAGCCCAACGTTCCCTGGCAGAGCACCTGCAGCTCCCCCGAGGAAACTCACTGCCTTGGTCCATCCAGGGGCCCCAAGGCAGCACAAAGGCATTCCTGAAATAGCTGGGTTTCACCTTCAGAATTCATTCCTGCAAGCAGGAGCAGGACAAGGCAGGAGGGGAAATGCTGTTATCCCAAATGGGGGGGCCTGAGGAGCAGAGGCAGAGCCCAGGCACCTCCACCCAGGCTGGCAGCCCAGGCAGCAACCACAGAGGGTAGAGACTGCAGGGAAAAGGACATCAGTTCCTCCCAGCCAAAATCTACCTTAAAAGGGCAAAACCCACAAACTGTCCCCAAGTCTCACGGCTGGTGCTGGGAGGGGACAGGAGCTTGGCAGCAACAGGGCACAGATCAGTCATGCCACTCTCAGCAGCTCCAGCAAGCAGAACCCTCCCACTCGCTCCAAAGCTGCTCTCCTTGGGGAGCGGCTCATGGCAGGGCTGGGACCGGGAGGAGACATGGGAAAGCAGGAGAGGGTTGTTGAAAATAGATCAGATGAGAGCCATGGGCAGAGCAGGAGCTGCTGTGAGCACTTGAGTGAGCCACAGACCCCTGGGAGGGCAGCCCCAGCCAGGGGCTCCTGGAGGGGCTCCTCGGACAGTGAAACCCCAGCTGGCCCCAGACACGGCTCCAGGCTGGGGCTCGCTGTGGCCACCAGCACCCAGCACCATGGGGCATCTGTGGGGAGAGAAGAGGCTCCTCTTCCCCCACCAAGGGGGCCCTCACTGCCATGGCTCAGAGAGTACACTGGTACCATCCACCTCCCAAAAGCTGGCTGGCACCTCTCCCCACAGTTCCCCCCATGGCGAGGCCAGAGGCAGCACAGCCCCCAGAGCCCTGGCCACAGGGGAACAGGCAGGTGCCACCAGCCTGTCCCACTGGGAGCAACCTCTCTGGCATGGGATGGCTCTGGTCCCTGCCCTCCCCAGCACAGATGAGCTCAGAACTGCCCAGGGAGTTTTTAGAAACCAAAACAGGATGTTTCCAGCCGGCGGCACAGGGTTGCCAGCCTGAATTAGCCAGCCCGCCCAGCCCAGCCCAGCCCTCCTACGAGTGCTCCCATCTGGGCATTGTCTTTTAATAGACACTGGAAACAAACCCAGCACAGCCACAGAGCGGGATGGGAGCGTGAGCTTAAAATAGGAGCAAGGAAAAAACCAGGCAGAGCACGGATGGGATGGAGAGGGGTGTGTGGATGGCAGCCCCTCTCCCACACCAGGGGCAGGACCCTGCTGTCCCCCATCGACCTGGGGACCTTGGCTGGCTGCCCCACTGCCCCTCCTGGGCTAGGGCAGATGATGCCAAAGAGTAAAGTCACATCAGCCAGGTGACACCAACCCTTCCTCTTCCCCTTCTGCCAAGGCCGAGTCCCCTCGCCACGATGGCCAACACGGACCCCAGCCAAGAAACCCAGAACGGCCAGTTCCCGCAGCTGGGATGGCCAGAATGTCCCTCGGGAGATGCAGCAGAGGTGGCAGCATGTCTCGGTCTCACTCAGCACATCAGAGCCCAGGCTGTGGCCGAGGAGGAGGAGGGTAGAACGCAGGCTGGAGCTGGTGCTGGCTCTGGGGAGCAGAGCACAATCTCTGGGAAACAACCGGGAGAGCCTCAGTGCCATGTGGGCAGCGAGAGCACTGCTCCCGAAACACGGAGCTGAGAAATTCCCCCTGTCCCTGCCAAAGGAGGGGAGGCAGCCACGTCCCCCAGCACCCAAATGAGAGATTCATGGAATAATTTGGGTGCGAAGGGACCCGAAGGCTCATTCTCATTCCAGTTCTTGCATGGGCAGGGACATCTTCCCCTATCCCAGGGTGCTCCAAGCTCCATCCAGCCTGGCCTTGGACACTGCCAGGGATGGGGCAGCCACGGTTTCTCGGAGCAGCCTGTGCCAGGGCCTCCACAAGCAGGGGTTGTGGCACCCATGGCCCAGCTCTCAGCCAGAGCTCTCTCCCCCACTGCACAGAGGGCTGTGGAATTTCACACCCAATCACCAAGATTAGCAGCAAATCCCAAGATGACATTTCTTCAGGAGAAGAAAGAGAAGCCCTGACCAAGCAATTTCCCTTGCAGGGACAGTGTGGAAATAGCTGAGGAGCAAAGAATGCCCCTTTTCTTCCCATCCTGCCGCCAGCGGCTTTGCCAGCATCCATCACCAAGCCCAAGAAAATAAACACGACTCTGTGTATAAACACAGCAACCATCAAACAACATTCCCAAGTGCAAGGGACCCACATTCCAGCCCGGAGCGTGCAGCTGCCTCCACTGTGGGTACGGAGAGCAGTGCTCTGCCCCACAGAGCAGCACCACATCAAACCGAGCAGGCACATCCAGAGCAACCCCAAATTCAGGTGACTGCAGCACGGACTGAGAACCAGCTCAGAGGTTTCCCCAGCAGGGCAGCCAGGGGATATGGCTGGCACACCTGGCAGGTGCCTGAAGGTGCTCTGCACAAGTCCTGGCCAGAACTGACCACACTCAAGGTGATATCTGAAGCAGAAACTCCTCACAGCCGATGGGAAGGAGAATGGGCAACAAGCAGTGGCCGGGCTCAGCCTCCAAACCAGAATTTTCTTTGCAGGTTCTCTAGCACCTCCTGAGAGCTGCTAAGTGCCTGCCAAGCCCAGCTCAGTCAGGTCACCGAGCACTTCCCACCCCTGGGGAGGCTGTAACACCTGGACAGCAGGAATCAACAGGAGCAACCACCACTAAAGGGCACCAAGTGCTCACAAAGTGCTCCCAGTTTCCACCCCCCTCCCTCCTAGGTGGGATGAACACACAACATGGAAAGACAAGGTCACTTTCTGAGCCAAAAACATCAACTCTGGTGTGTGCCCAGCAGATAAAGAAGGAGCAGAAGGGCTCGAGGTGTGAAGCTTGTAGCTGAGAGTGCTCCAGAGCCTGGGCCACGCAGAACCTCCCACGGACAGGCTGCAGGCGCCCTCTCCACAGCCACATCCTACCCAGAACATCTGTACAGGCTGCTGGGCCACTGCCATGCTCTGGAAATATAAATAGGTGTTAAATTCAACTCCATGTTGACAGTGTGACACGTCTCTCAGTAACCACAGCTCCAAAAGGAGCAGCGCTGAGCCACTCCAGCCCGGCAAGGAGGCAGGGCAGGGCAGGGCAGGGAGCCAGCTGCAGGATGGCCTGCTGCCCAAGCATCTCACTTCCCTTGGAAGCAGCTGCTATTTCCCTGCAGCTCTGCTTCTCCAGCTCTCCCTGGACCTTTGGAAGCATCTCCCTGTGGCCACTGCCCAGAGGGGCACTGTGCTTCCCAGCCTGGCCAGACTGTGCTCACGTGCTGGGCTCCCTGTGCTCCCCATTTGAAGGGACCCCGCTTTGCTGGTTTGCCTCACTGCCCCTTTCCCAGACAGACCATTTCTTCAGCTGCCAGCGGAGCAACTGGTGGAAACTCTCTGAGCCATCACAGACTTGATACTCCTTGAGACACCAACGCTTCAGGAGAGGCTGTACAGTCACTCCTCTGCACTCCGTGTCCCCCAGCACAGGCCAGCCCTGCTCCCCACTGTCCATGTGCTGTGTGACAGGGGCGCACTGGGAGACCTGGAGCGGGGTGCACAGCACAAGGACAATCCAGACACAGCCACAGCAACCCCTCAGTAATGGACACACGGCGTGGGACGCTCACCTGGGCCTGCTGCCAAAGCAGTTGGTGCTGGGAGGTTGGTGCCGGCCCTCCGTGGCCACAGCTGTGCTGGGGGGGTCCCGTCCAGGTACCTGGGACCCTGCATTGGGGGAAGAACAAGGGCTGAAGGACTGAACCACCTGCAGATCTGCCCTCCTTCCCTCCCTTCCGCCTTCCAGAAAGGAGCCCCAAAAAGCACAACAGCCCCATCCCTTGCAGGACAGACCCCCAGCACCCAAGGAGCCCCCACCTCACACCACACAGCCTGGCACTGCCCGGCCCCCCAGCACCCCATGGCTCCAAGTGGGACACAGGACCCTGCAGAGCTGGCAGTGCCACGAGAGCACCGCACCCACAGCTCCCAGATTTCACAGGTTTTGTTTTCCATCACCAAAGAGAAGGAGCCAAGGGAAAGCAATGCACCAAGCCCTGTTCTGTACGAGCTTTGCTCTCCTGGCAGGCCTGAGAGACCAGCCAGCAGCCCATGACCCCGGGGACGCCCTGGCATGGGGAGCTCTCGAGAGCAGATCAGCAGCACTGACACCATTTCCCAGCCCTCACAGCAGCCAGGGAAGGGGCTGACCCAGCCAGGGAAGGGGCTGAGCCGCTGGAAGGCAGGAGGAGGGCTGGGGAAGGGCCGCTCCTCCCCGGCTCTGGGAGGCTGCTGTGAGCCCGTGGACACTCCCGTTCCACTCCTGCCACGGGCTGACACCAGCGGGAGCCCACAGGGCTGGCCTGGGTGGGCAGGGGCCAGGGGTGGGTGCTGGCAGGGTGGGCAGGGGCCAGGGGCGGTTGCTGGCCCGGGTGGGCACGGGCCAGGGGCGGGTGCTGGCAGGGTGGGCACGGGCCAGGGGCGGGTGCTGGCAGGGTGGGCACGGGCCAGGGGCGGGTGCTGGCCCAGGACACCGTCCCGGTGTGCCGGGGCCGCGCTCACCCCGCTCCGCTCGCCCCGGGCCGGGCTCTCACCCACCGGGCACTCACCCTCCGTGGCGGCGGTGCCGTCGGGAACGCTGCCCAGAGCAACAGCCGGGCTGTCCAGGAACACCGTCAGCTCCCCGCCAGACACAACGCTGCCTTTGTTCTCCGTCTGCAGGTCCAGGGTCAGCTGCCTGTTCTCCACTGCGGGACACGGAGAAAAGACCCCCAGTCATCAGCGGGACACCGGCCCTGTGCCTGCCCCCATCCCAGGGGACAATGTGCCCTCAGGGCCACCAGGGCTGGCCCCACACCCACACACACCGACCAGCGCTGCCAGAGGAGCCCAGCCAATCCCACCACCTGCTCCTGAGAAGATCCTTCTTCACCAGCCCTCAGGATCCCTTCACCCCTTTGCTGCCCCAGGGGCCCTGGCTGTGACACCGAGACCCCCATCGCTCACAGATGCAGGAGCTGTAGGGCAGATCCCAGCAGGAAAGCCAAGGGATTTCACACCATCACCTTCAAGATTATAGAGTCCAGCCAAGCTCAACACATCAACTAAACAGGGGCACCAAGTGCCACATCCAGGCTTGTTTTAAACACAATCCAGAGATGGTGACTCCACCACCTCCCTGGGCAGACAATTCTAGAATTTTATCACTCTTTCCATAAAAAAGTCTTTCCTAATAGCCAGCCTAAATTTCCCTTGGCACAGCTTAAGACTGTGTCCTCTGGTTGTGTCAGTGCTGTCTGGACAAAGAGACTGTCCCCCACCTGACTACTGTCATTTTTCAGGGAGCTGTAGAGAGTGGTAAGGTCATCTCTGAGCCTCCTCTTCTCCAGACTAAACACCCCCAGCTCCCTCAGTCATTCCTCACAGGGCTTGTGCTCCCAGCCCCTCACCATCCTCGCTGTCCCCTCTGGACGCACTTGGGAGTCTCAACGTCCTTCTCAAACTGAGGGGCTCCCTTAGGATGACACAATGAACATGAGGGGTCCTGCGTGATGGGGAGCATCCCTCCGTCCACATCCCCGTGCATCACCTCCACTGAACAAAACCAGCACAGAGGGCTGTCCCCAAACAGGAACACTGCAGCAGCACTGGACCACATCCACAGAAGGTTCTGGACAGGGTGCCATGGGCTGGGAGGCTTCTGGAGACAGCTGCCAGCTCCACTCCCTCCTGAGAGAGCCAGTCTGGCTTCATCAGCTTGGCTCTGCTGGTCCCTGGGGCAAGGGGGGCACAGCACAGCCCTCAGCACCCACCCCATCACAGCAGTGCATGCAGTGCCAGCCAGACTGAAACACCCGTCACACAAGGCCAGAAAAATTTGGCTGCACCAGCCTGGGACACTAGCCCAGACGCTTCCTGACTCATTTGCTCAAATAATATTTGTATTATACACGGATTGCTCATGACACAATGGCACCATTTTTTAGCGACCTGCTTTGTCCCGGTGTGAGGCGGGGACGGGGTGCGGCTCAGGACAGCAGGAGCAGGATGGGAGCACACCCCCATGGAGCCCTTGTCCCACCTCTAGCTGTGAGCTGCCCCACACTGGGGCTTGACATTTCCTTCTCCAAGTCTCCACACAACAGAGTGACACACACAGGGTCTGCAGTGACACAGGGCTGTGGGACAGCACTTGTGCATCTGAGGGAAGTCTCCAGTTTTCAGTGCCAAGAGGGCAGGTGTCTCCTGCACGACAGGGGCACGTTGCTCTGTCACTGATCACCATCATCCAGCAAAGGATTCAGCTGAGCCTGGTCTTCCCCTCTGCCTCACGGAGCCGCACTCCGCTTGCCTCCATGGGAAACCGACCTCACAGACAGTTTTAAGAGCCTGAGACAGAAGATGCTACTGAGCACGGCCAAAACCCAGAACAAATCCAGAGCCTGTTTCCCCCTTGGCTCCTCCAAGCCGTAGGAATCCGCATTTTCTCCAGGGTGCCTCCATCCCCCTCCACGCGCCGCCTCGGGGCCGCACAAGCCCTCATTGTGCGGGCGCCCGGTGAGGCGCAAAGACAAGGTGTCTCCAAGTGGAGGATGTGAACATGAACCTCCCAGCCGGCTTCCTTCTCCCCCCCTCCACCCCCTCCTGCTTTTTTAAAGAAAATAAACACTGGCAGAACCTTCCACTCCCTGTCCCCGTGCAGCGTGCGGGACGCACAAAGGGACATTGCTGCTGCACCGACGGCGGGTCCCCTGAAGGGCCCGGCACAAAGCTGCCTCTGTCCCGCCGGCCGCCAGAATGTCAGAGGGATTATTATTATTTTGGGAGGGGGTCGGGGGGTGATTTGGTCCTGAATAAGGTCTCAGTTCAGCTACTTCCAGTGCCCTGCACGCAGCATCAGAGCTCCCATTTAGCAGAGGTGAGCTGGAATTCACACCCAGCCCATTAAGCGGATTTACGGTTCCACGAAACGGGGCTGGGTGTGATAACGGCCCCGGGCTGAGCCCCAGCCCCGGGACCCCCAGGAACCACACGTGTCTGACCCCAGGGAGCTGCCACCCCTCTGGAAGACCCCGTGTGAGGTGGCTCCAGCTCCACAGCTGCATCCCAGATTATTTTCAGAGAGCCAAAACGAGCTTCCCAGTCTCTCAGCATCCCAAGCCTAGCGCCAAGCTCTTTGCCCAGTCCCACTGGATGCCACAGTTCCCATTCCAACAGCTCCACGTGAGCGTCCAGGTTTTGTCTGGGATGAATCAAAGCTCCCTGGGGCTGAGCAGGTGAAGACTGGCTCAGCCTTTGTGCATTCCCACAGAAGGAATGACTCCCTGCTGTGGCTACAGTCCCTCCAGGAACAAGCAAGGGGCAGGTTAAGCCTTCTGCAGACATTCCCAAACCAAGAAGGAACCCAGAGTTCAGGGGAAGGGATAACCTTTAGTGTCCCATGAAAGTCTCCCCAGGGAAGCTTTGCCTTCACTGCTGATCCAACCTTAACCACCAGCAGCTTAGAGACAACCGTGTCCCACTCCATTTATCTCAGGGATAACTAGGAGGCCCTCAGGTTTCTGTATCTGTCCTCTAAAAGGTGACATGGGATGGGCACTCTCCAATCCCCCCAGTGACCTACTGGCTGGATGACCAGTTTTGTGGGATTACACCCCTGCCACGGCAGAGCCAGCTCATGGATCCGCTGGGACATGCAGCACAGCCCAGCTCCTCTGCCATCACAGCCACAATGGGGTGGAGCTGCAGTTTTCCAGAGGCTGGGAGCTGCTGCTGGTGTCCTGGAGGGTCCCAGGAGGCTACAGTGCCAGCCACTCTGCCTGGGGCACCGCAGCAGGGCCCCTGCAGGATCCCTAAAGCCCTGGCACGCAGTGCCACTCGGCACACAGCAGGACCAGCACAGCCAGCGAGAACCAGGATGGGCTCCCACAGCCCAGGACACGCTCCCACAGCCCAGGACGGGCTCCCACAGCCCAGGACGGGCTCCCACAGCCCAGGACGGGCTCCCACAGCCCAGGACGTGGGGCTGGCCGGGCCAGGAGCTCCCAGAGCCCGGGAACAAAGAGGTGCCTCTGCAGCGGCGGCAGCTCGGGGGCCGGGGCCGGGGGCGTGCCACGGCAAACGAGCTGTTTTATGGGGAGCCCTGGGAGCAGCCTGGAAGGCTCCAGCCCTGCTGGCGATGGAGCTGCTCCTGACCCACCTCTCCACCTCCCCGGCCAATCCCCGGGAAGGCGGCAGCGGCCGCCTGCCAGCGGAGAGGCCCCGCAGAAGCGCCGCGACTGCGAAAGCGCGGCCGGAGCGCGGTGCAGGAGCTCCCACAGCCGGGTGCCAGCTCCAGAGGCTCCCACAGCCCTCCTGGGAGCTCAGGCCTCACCGCCGAGCTCTTCTGCCATGCTCCAGGCCCCAGAGTGGGGCTTTCCCCCTGCAGTGAGGCAGCTTGGCAGGAGGGCCGACAGCAGCATCCTGGCACGCACTGCCACGGGTGTCACCAGCAGTGGGGACACTGTCCTGCCCGCTGAGGAGAACCACAGCAACCAACCCGAGGCCACACTGCACTCACAAATCAGTTTTGTTCATAAAGCCTCCCAAAATGCTACAAACCCAGCTAAGAGGGGCTGCTGGTCACTCTGGCTGAGCCCGACTCAGGATGGGAGAGGAGGGCCAGGCCCCTCCAGTGGCAGGGACACACACATTTCACTGCCCTTCACATTAAGTGTCTGACTCAGGATGGCTTGAAATCCCAGATGCCTTCTGCAGGCCCTTGCCTGCCCCAGCCCCTTCCTCAGGCTGGCAGGCAGAGGGAACACACTCCCCGATTCCCAGGAGGACAGGAGCCCCTGCAGAAAGGATCTCCCAGGTTCCCAGGGGACCCCAGCAGCCTCTGGCCCTCTCAGACGTGCAGCAAAGCCCGAGGGCTGAGCACAAGCCTGCAGAGAAGAGGAGGGGGCAGATGCCAGCCCAGACAAGGAGGGCAGGCAGGAGCAGAGGGGCAGCACCTTCCCAGGCAGGGCAGGGCAGGCTCTGCAGCTTTAAGAGTCCTTCCTCCCTCCCAGCCCACAGTGTCAAGGAAAAATCTGACACGTTTTTTCTGGGGGATGTTAACAGACAAGCCAGAACAGCCAGTTGCCTTTTCCATTCATTTTCCACACAGCCTCCCGGGACGGCTGGGAATGAAAGAGCCAATTGTGCCCCCGTGGCGGCGCAGGTAGGGCAGGAACCACGGCGGCTCTGGGAGCCCAGCACAGCCCCTGCACGCCTCGGGAAATAACGGCTGCAGGGGGGGTGCCCAGGGGCACAGGTCCCACAGCTGTGGGGCTGGCTGGCTGCTACACCCCAGCAGAGCCAGCCCGAGGCACAGTCCAAGTCCCCCCAGGCCTCGTGAGAAGACAGCACACCCGGTGCCACCCAGAGCCACGGCGGCACGGCGGGGACGCCGCTGCGGCTGCAGAGCTGGGGCACCGGGGGAAGCAGCTCAGCCAGCCCCCGGCACTGGGGAGGGTCTGAGGCAGCCCCGGGTCCCTCGGGGCGCAGGAGGCCCCTCTCCCCGCTGAATGCCAGCTCTGTGTCTCACCAGCTTTGCTTGGAAGAGACAGAGCCGGCCTTTTCCAGCCCCGCGCGGCCGCGCGCGCCGCCCGGCTCTGAATGGCCGCATTATGTGGGAGCTGCTGCCACGGGCCACGCGCTGGCAACCGCAAACGGGGCAGATACAGCGGGGTTTGTGCTCCCAGCGGGTGACGCAGGTACGGCTTCCGGCACGGCACGCCCGGCCCGGGCACACAACGGCACCTTGTTCCTGCCGGGAGCACGGCCGCCGCTGCCCCGTGCCCTGCTCTGTGCCCCGTGCCCTGCTCTGTGCCCTGTGCCCCTTGCCCTGTTCTGTGCTGTGCCCTGCTCTGTGCCCCGTGCCCTGCTCTGTGCCCTGCTCGGTGCCCTGCTCTGTGCCCCGTGCCCTGCTCTGTGCCCTGTGCCCTGCTCTGTGCCCCGTGCCCCGTGCCCTGTGCCCTGCTCTGTGCCCCGTACCCTGCTCTGTGCCCCGTGCCCTGCCCCGTGCCCCGCTCTGTGCCCCGTGCCCTGCTCTGTGCCCCGTGCCCTGCTCTGTGCCCCGTGCCCTGCTCTGTGCCCTGTGTCCCTTGCCCTGTTCTGTGCCCTGTGCCCTGCTCTGTGCCCTGTGCCCTGCTCTGTGCCCCGTGCTGTGCCCTGCTCTGTGCCCTGTGCCCCGTGCCCTGCTCCGTGCTGTGCCCCGTGCCCTGCTCTATGCCCTGTGCCCCGTGCCCTGCTCCGTGCTGTACCCTGCTCTGTGCCCTGCTCTGTGCCCCGTGCCCTGCTTTGTGCCCCTTGCCCTGCTCCGTGCTGTGCCCTGTGCTGTGCCCCGTGCCTGGCTCTGTGCCCCGTGCTCCGCTCTGTGCCCCGTGCCCTGCTCTGTGCCCCGTGCCCCATGCCCTGTCCTGTGCCCTGCTCTATGCCCCGTGCCCTGCTCTGTGCTGTGCCCCGTGCCCCTCTCTGCTCTGTGCTGTGCCCTGCTCTGTGCCCCGTGCCCCGCTCTGTGCCCTGTGCGCCTTGCCCTGTTCTGTGCTGTGCCCTGCTCCATGCTGTGCCCTGTGCTGTGCCCCATGCCCTGCTCTGTGCCCCGTGCCCCTTGCCCTGCTCCGTGCTGTGCCCTGCTCTGTGCCCCGTACCCTGCTCTGTGCTCCGTGCCCCATGCCCTGTCCTGTGCTGTACCCATGCCCTGCTCTGTGCGCCGTGCCCCTCTCTGTGCTGTACCCGTGCCGTGCCCTGCCCCGGGCAGCCCCAGCCCCGTACGTACGTTTGCTGCCGCCCTTGAGCAGGCTGCCCAGGCTGACGGAGGCGGCGCCCAGCAGCTCGTTCCTCAGCGTGTGGCAGATCCACACCTTCAGCTCCAAGTGGCTCTGAGCGGTGACATTGCTGCAGAGAGCAGAGAGGGGCTGTCACCACAGCCTCCTGCCCGCTCCGTGCGCGGGGAGCGGAGGAAGGTGTGCAGGGACACGGGGACACCCTCCTCCCACTGCCCTCCCAGCCCGGCCGTCTCTGGCAGTGTCCCCCTGCACGGGGCAAAGCTCTGCCACCGAGTGTCCACAGCCAGTGGCACAGCAGGGCACACGGGGCCAGCTCCTGACCAGGGGGCACACGGACTCACAGGGTGAGGATCTCGTTCCACAGCAGCTCAGAGACCCCCATCTGCTTCCCCGTCTTCTTGGTCTCACTGGGCAGCCCGTCGCCGGCCACCTCCACGTAGCAGTTCATCCGCGCCGGGCGGCTCTGGGCCTTGGGCTTCACAGACACCACTGGGCAGGGACGGGCACAGTCAGGCCTGCGGGACACCCTGACCCCGTCCCTGCCCTGTCCCCCAGCCCACCCGGGCCAGCTCGGGGTGCCACACTCACACCAGAGTGCTTGGAGAGGGGCAGCGGGGAGCAACGCTGCTGGTGGCAGTGATGGCTAGCACCGAGCCCTGAGCGTGTCCCAGCGTCACCCCTCCGAGGGGACTGTCACTGTCCCCAGGGCCACCTACCTCCCTGCCCCGGGGCAGCGCCAGGGCAGCGGTGCGGCGGAGGGGCAGGGCAGGGCGGGCTGCGGCTCCCCGGGCGCCGGGAGCCATCTCGCGGCCACGGCAGCACCGGCGCGGCCCCGGGCCCGCAGCCACCATCCCCGGCCCCGCAGCCACCATCCCCGGGCCCACAGCCACCATCCCCGGGCCCACAGCCACCATCCCCGGGCCCACAGCCACCATCCCCGGCCCCCGCTCCCCCCGGGCTGTGGCAGAGCTCCCGGCAGGGGCAATCCCGGAGGGCAGCAGGACCCACCTTTCACGGACAGCGGGGACTTCTCGCAGGGCGGCCCGGCCCTGGCCCTGCTGGAGCTGGCAGCGGCCATGGCATCACCCCCGGCTGGAAAGGAGAGAGGAGACGCTCAGCCCCGCTCCCACGGCACCCGGGGAGCGCAGGCACAGCCCGAGGTGTGGGGTGCAGTGCCCAGGAAAGGGCTGGGCAAGCCTGGGACACGAGGGCTCCTCTCCTGATGAACCCCCATTCCAAAGGCAACGCTGTGTCCCTGGGAGAGCAGCCCCTGCACGGCAGCGCCACGGGCTGAGCTGGGCACTGCCACCTCCGGACACCCCTCTGGGCACCCGAACCCCTGAGCCACAGGCCAGGGCTGCTGCGGGACAGAGCAGCCACCAAAGCCTTGCCCTGGGGGACACAGACTCACCACACATGATGGCAAGGACACGGCAGTGCCAGGGGGACAGGGCAGTGCCAGCGGGACAGGGCAGTGCCAGCGGGACACGGCAGTGCCAGGGGGGACACGGCAGTGCCAGGGGGACACGGCAGTGCCAGGGGGACACGGCAGTGCCAGGACTGGCTGGACAGACAGAGGTCTGGTCACAGCATGGGGACCACAAACCTCAAGGGCAGCCCCGGTTTCATTAATCCCACAGGATCCCTGAGGCTGGGAAAGGCCTCCAGGACCATGGTGGGACACATGGCCAGGGCGGGTGCCCAAAGCAGCGAGCACAGAGCGGAGGGCTGAGCAGCCAGCTCCTCCTGCCGTTCCCAGGAGCTGCAGAGCACGGGAGCCGAGCTGCCAGCCCAGCCCAGCACCGCCTGGCCAGGGGGGAACGGGGGAAGCAGCTCCAGCCCCCCTCCCTGCCCAGGAGCCTCTTCCCTGCCCTCTCTCTATATCCTCCTTGAACCGTCCCGAGCTCCATCCCAGGGCAGATTCCTGTGAAATCCCCTCTGCCAGGGTCACAGCAAACCTGCCTGGCAGCCCAGGGCCTGGCTGTGCCCGTACAGCTCCCAGCTCTGCCTGCAGGTGCCCGCTGGGCACTGCCCGAGCACTGTGCTGGCTCCATCCAGCAGCAGCCAGCGCTCCCGGACACTGCCCAGCCTCCAGGGTCACCCATCCCCGTTATCCCAGACCCATCCCCGTTATCCCGGCCCACGGCTCGCCCCGAGCTCCCGGCTGGGATTCCACCGGGGCCGTGCCAGCCCGTGCCCGGCCCGTGCCCGGCTCTCTGCCTCCCTCCTTCCCCTCCTGGCTCTTCCCCTTCTCCCGTTTCCTGACCCCACACCACTTCTCTGTCCCTTGCTGTGACACCTCTGGCCCCCGGACATCGCCCGGTGCCGCTCTCCGGGCACTCCCCGGCCCAGCGGGGCCGTGACCGGGCCGGGCCCGGGGCGCTCCCGCCCCCTACGCCCCGCGGGATCCCTCGGCCAGGCCGGGGCCTCCCTTCCTCCGGGCTCCCCGTTCCGCCAGCCCGGCCCGGCCTCCGGGACAGCCGCGGGGCCGCGCCCGGGCGGCCAACACCGAACCGGGACCGGCCCCGCACAGAGCCGGGCCGGGCGCGGCGGGCACCGCGCACGGGAGGCGGCGGCGAAGGGGCTGCCCGTGGCGCCGCCGGTACCGGGCCGGTACCGGCACAGGCTGAGCAGCTCCCGGCGGCCGGAGCGCTCCACCGGGCCGTGTCCGCCCGACGGACGGGAGCGCCCCAGGCTGGGCCGGGAAGCGACACCGAGCCGAGCCGGTCCCGTCCCCGTTTCCGTTCCGGTTCCCGTCCCCGGTCCCGTCCCCGTCCCCGGTCCCGTTCCCGTCCCGACTCCGTCCCGTTACCGGCGGCCGCTCCGCTCCCTCAGCCCGGCTCCGGCTCCCGCCGTCATGTGACCCCCGGCCCGTCACGTGACCGCGCCGGCCGGAAGCGCTCCCGCGGCACGGCGCCGCTCCCGGCGTGCCCCGGCCGAACTACAACTCCCGGTGTGCCCTGTGCCCGGACCACAACTCCCGGCGTGCCTCCCGCGGCGCTTCGACGGCGGCCGGGCTGGGCCATGGGGCGCGCAGACATGGCGCGTGTTCCGCACGTCGTGGCCGACACGGGCGCGTTCCTGAGCGCGGCCCCGCTGCAGGTACCGGGGGGACTCCGGGGGGACGGGGGTGGGGAGGGTGAAGGCGTTGCGGGCCGGTGTGACGGCGCTGCCCGCAGGACGTGGCGGACGCGCTGTACACCGTGCCCGAGGTGCTGGCCGAGATCCGCGACCGGCGGGCGCGCCGCCGCCTGTCCGCGCTGCCCTGCGAGCTGCGGGTGCGCCGCCCGCGCCCCGACCTGCTGCGCCTCGGTGAGTGCGGCCGGCCCCGCTCCGGCCCTTCCCCGCCGCTCCGGCCCTTCCCCGCCCCGCCCGGCCCGGCCCCGCCCGGCCCGACGGCGCCGCTGCTCCTCCCGCAGTGACCGAGTTCTCCAAGAAGACCGGGGACTACCCGAGCCTCTCGGCCGCCGACCTGCAGGTGCTCGCCCTCACCTGCCAGCTGCAGGCCGAGATCCACGGCCCCGGCAGCGTCCGCTGGGAGCCGCAGGACAAGGTAGGATGGGCGCGGGGTCCCGGTTCCAGCGGGCCGCGGGGCTCCCGTTCCAGCGGGACACGGGGCTCCGGTTCCAGCGGGGCGCGGGGCTCCGGTTCCGGCGGGGTCCCGGATCCAGCGCCCCACCGACGGCCCGTGCCGCCCCCAGGTGCGGGTCAGCTCCACCCCGCGGCACCCCGAGGCTCCGCTGCACCTCGCCGGTTTCCACCTGCCCGCCAAGGTAAGGCCCGGCGGGAGGGCGAGCCCGGCCCCGCGGAGCCGCGGCTGAGCTCGCCGTGTGTGCCCCCAGCACAAACCCGCGGGGAAGGGTCCCCGCCAGCCCGGCCCCGGCCCCGGCCCCGGCCCGGTCCCGGCGGAGAGCGACGAGTTCGGCTCCTTCCTGTACTGGCGGCCGCCCCTGCCCAGCATCGAGGAGGAGCTGCGGGAGCTGCTGGTGAGAACCTGCCGGGGTCCCGCCCCGCCGTGTCTGCCTGGCCGTTCCGACCCTCCGGGCCGCCCTGACCCTCTCCCCCGTGGCCAGGCCATCGCCGGCAGCCCCGAGCCCCCCGAGCAGCGCCGCGGCTCTGCAGACGGGACCAGCGCCGGCGAAGAGGAGGAGGAGGATGAGGATGAGAGCGATGACGAAGGCTGGATAACTCCCAGCAACCTGAAGCAGGCCCAGCAGGACACGGGGCACTGTGACACTGCTCCCGTCGGTGTCCAGGTGGGCTGTGTCACCACGGACTTTGCCATGCAGGTGGGTGCTGGGGCTCTGGGACAGCTCCGTGTGTCACACAGCAGGGTCTCAGTCCCAGAGGCCTTGCAGAGCCTGCAGGGCTCTGACTGCCCCAGCTGTGTTCCTGCTCTTGCAGAACGTGCTGCTGCAGATGGGTCTCCACGTGCTGGCCGTGAACGGGATGCTGATCCGCCGCGCCCGCAGCTACATCCTGCGCTGCCACGGCTGCTTCAGGTGCCGGGGCCGGGGCTGAGCCCGGGCTGAGCCCGTGTTCACGGCCCCGGGAGCTCTGAATGCCCGTTCCGCCCTCGCAGGACCACTTCAGACATGACCAAGGTGTTCTGCCCCCACTGCGGTAACAAGACGCTCAAGAAGGTGGCAGTGAGTGTCAGCGACGACGGGAGTCTCCACATGCACTTCTCCCGCAACCCCAAGGTGCTGAACCCCCGGGGGCTCAGGGTGAGTACCTGCACAGAACCCCAGACTCACTGAGCTTGGAAAGGACCAGCCCGATCATCAAATCCAGCTTGTGACTAATCCTCCCCTTGTCAGCCAGCCCTGAGCACTCAGTGACAGGTCCAGTCAATTCCTTGCACACCTCCCTGGGCACGCCTTCCCACCTTTAACAACCCTTTCTGGGAAGAAATTCTTCCACTGGGATCCCAGGGATGGGAGCCCAGCCTGTGGCTGGCAGGCTGGAAGGAATCAGACTGGTAACATCCTCCAGATGTTGCCCTTGAGCCCCCGGGCTTTCGGGCCTCCCCGCTGGGTTCTGCAGCGGGCTGGGGTCGCCGGGGGTCCCCGGGGGCCGGGGCTGACCCCGCTGTCCCGCAGTACCCGCTGCCGGCGCCGCAGGGCGGCAAGCACGCCAACAACCCGCACCTGGTGGAGGACCAGCGCTTCCCGCAGCAGCGCCTGTCCCGCAAGGCGCGGCAGAAAACCGACGTCTTCGACCCCGACTACCTGGCCGGGGCCTCCCCGTTCGCCGAGAACGACGTGCACAGCCGGGCCGCGCACCTGCAGCTGCGCGACGCTGCCCTGGGCGCCGGCCGCCGCCGCCTCAACCCCAACGCCGTCACCAAGAAGTTCGTGAAGAGGAGGTGAGGGCGGGACACACCTGCCCAGGTGTGCTGCTGGCTCTGCCAGGGCCGCTCCCAGCTCCTGGCACGGGTCAGGCCGTCCTGTCCCCGCGGCGCTGGTGCCCAGAGCCTCCGTGAGTGGCGGGGGGACGGGTTTGGGGAGGTCCCAGCACGGGGAGGGCTTCCCTGGGCAGGGGCTGTGTCACCCAATAAACACCACACCCCAAAGCCCCGTGGCTCGGTCCCATTTCTGCGGCTGCCTGTGCCTTTCTCTGAGCCTCGAGGAACGAGGCTGGGACAGAGGGAGGGAGGATTGCTTGGATCGTTTGTCCCACAGGATAATGAGCTCCAGAAGGACAAAACCCCGGGGCAGGGGGTTGTGTCCCACCCCTGCACTGGGCGATGCCCATGGCTGAAGGGGGAAACTCTGGGGTAAAGCTTTTTGGGTAAATCTGCTGGAATCTTTCACAATTGACTGCTGGTTCCAGCTCTTGCTGCAGTTTCTCCTTAGCCCTGCTGAAATTGTTCAAAATAAGGAAATACCTGATAGAAGCTGTGGCCCCTGGTCCTGGGGAGGTCACAGGCTGGGGGCAGCCAAGGGGAGCACAGCTGAGCCCCACAGCCCCAGGGCACTTCTGGGCTGTCAAAGCTGCAGATGAAGGGCATTGGGTAAGGCAGGCTCACATCCTGCTGAGGATGGGGTAACTTCAGCATCTTGGCTTTGGACTCCTGGCCTCACGCCCCTGGGGCAGACTCTGCCTCTCCCCCGGTCCCCACGACAGGATCCCGGGCTGTGGAAGCTGTTCCCTTGGGAATTGTTCCCTTGTCACAACCTGGGGCTGGGCTGGGCAGCCCCCAGGGGTTACTGGGGTCCCACACCGTGTGATTCCCCGGGACATTCTCCTGCAGCAACTGCAGTGCCCCAGGCACGGCTCTGGAGATGCCCTTGGAAAAACAATCACAAGACTTTACAGTGTAAAATGAAAACTTTCATCGTTTATTCTCGACTGCAGCTGTTTACAGAAATATAGTTGCGAGTATACAAATGTCCCAATAGAAGCAAAATATTTTTTTTTTTTAATATTCAACAAGTTATCACAGGAGAGCTAAAAACATAGATGCAAATAAAATATCCCCTCATAGACAAACTGAAAACACCGGGAATCAGTGCTTGGAAAACCCACCTACGAAAGCCATATACACAGAACTGCACGAAGGAGTATCTGGTGCTACTTTCACATTGCAGGACACAGAAGAGGCAGCTCAGCGGTTGAGGGTGCACCCAGAACTTCTGGCAGGCAGGGAGAGCCCACCTGAGGTGCAGGGACAGAGACAGAGGTTGGAGCTCTGCTCTGCAGGGGTTGGGGCTTAACTCAGCATCAGCTCAGATGGAAATAATTCAAATTGCCTCCTTTTATCCAGAATAAAGAAGCCTCAGGAATGCTGCAGGCTGCTGAGGATACTGGATTGGGATCCCAGTTCTGCAACACCCAAAGAGCCACTTCCAAACAGGAACTTCCCCCTGGACACTTATCCCAACGGCAGCTCCAGGGCAAAACAAAGCCAAGGCCATTTACCTGTCAGGTGAACACAGGACCCCTCCCTAATCCCAGGCCTGGAGCTGGAATGTGTCACAGAGGGCTCAGTGAGCAGGGAATCCCTGGATTCCTTGCCCTGTCCCCACACAGTGAATGTCACCGGGCAATTATTGAAGTGTAACAGCAAAAAGCACAGATCTCTGGCAAACTCCAAGAAAACAAAGGAGGACACTGGCTCTCAGTGTGGTGCAGGTGATTTAAGACCTGTACCAGGACAACACTGATCCACTCAGGACAAATTCCGGTGGAATGCGGATTTGGAACTGAGTCATGTTGGACACAAGACACGTTATTGATTGTATAACCTGATTTAAAGGCTGGAGCTGTGCCAGGGCAGGTTTAGGTTGGATATTAGGAAAGGTTTTTCCCCCAGAGGTGCTGGCACTGCCCAGGCTCCCCAGGACATGGGCACAGCCCCGAGGCTGCCAGAGCTCCAGGAGAGTCTGGACAGCACTGCCAGGGATGCCCAGGGTGGGGCTGGACTGGATGATCCCTGTGGGTCCTTTCCAGCTCAGGATATTCCATGATTCTTAGGGTTTAATTAGGGTTCCATTATTCCTAGGGTTCTGATTCTTAGGGTTTAATTCCTCACACAACCTGCAAGAAAGAAATCAGCACAAGTGGTGGCAGGTTCTTCAGGGACAGAATTCAAGGGGAGCTTCACTGGCTAAAAGGAGTTCTCTAGATTTTGACTGCTGCACTAATGAATCAGTTAAAAAATCAGTTTACAGGCTCCTGCCCTCATGGGAATAATGAGAAATGGCAGAGGAGCTTCTTCCCCTCCTGACCCAGCACAACCAGGGAATTTTGCTACACGGTGACAGCCCAGACACCGGGCTGGTGTCACAGCACAGCCACCACCAGTGCCTGGCTGCAGCCAGACTGGGGATGGAAAGGGCTCTGGAGTCACTCAGGGGAAGCCCAGGGATGCTCAGGGCTGCAGGAAGCCCATCCTCAGCCTGGGTGT